TAAAATTGAAAAAAAGTCTTGTGTAAGTTATAAGTACCGATGTATGGTGTTGCGGAAAATTATGATTTTCGTATTTTTGGCTGTCACTCTAAAACTATAAGCTACTACCCGTCCAATTTTTATCCACGATTTTCCGCAACACCATACGTCGGTACTTACAAGTTACACGAGACTATACCTGAGTTTTTAAATATTTTAAACTAATACGTACATTTGAATTAGGGTTTTTTCTTTAATAGATAATACACATTTTAATTGGTAGTAGTTGTTTGCGTTTTTCAAGAGATAAAGGCTATTAAAAAAAATCTTTTTTTTAAGGGAGAAGCGAACCGGTGCTCTTTAGCTGTAAAAATTTTTCCTTAAAATAAAATTTAATAAAATTTTCACGTAATGTTGTACACTTGAGGAAGTAATTGTGAATATAAATTGGACTGGTAGCAGTTTATAGTTCTAGAGTGACAGCCAAGAATACGAAAATCATAATTTTCCGCAACACCATACGTCGGTACTTACAAGTTACTCAAGACTAATCCTAAGTGTTAAAATATTTTTTATTAATACGTTTAGATGTATTGGTGTATTTTTCACTGAGTGGTACACTTTTGAATGCGTAGAAAAGCGTTTTTTAAGAGTGAAAGGCTTAAAAAAAAAAAGTTTCATTTTTTAAGAGATAAATAAATCTGTACTTTTATAGCTGTTGAATTTCTTCTTTAATACATAATTGAATGAAATTTTAACATGTTGTTGTACACTTAAAAAACTCATTGTGAATAAAAATTGGACTGGCAGCAGCTTATAGTTTTAGAGTTATAGGCAAATTATGCTTATGTACACGCCAACTGTCATCGTACAGTTTGGTTATATTTGGTCATTTGTAAATTATTTTTTTTTTTTTTTAATGTTGAAACTTAGAAGTGGATAGTCTTTATGTAGTGTAGTTTAAAGTTATTTAATATTAATTTTAATGGCTGGAAAACTTTATTTTTTTAGTCAAGAGTTACTTTGTGGAAATCTGGCCATTGCTTTCTACATATTACGTTAGTCTAGGTCTCTAGGTCTCAATCAATGGAATTAATTTTTCACTGATTTTCCTAACGTTTGTTACTTGTTTCAAAGTTATTTTATTGGTATTATAAATGTTTTTAGTCAATAATTTCTTTTTTTTTAGTTTCTAAAAAATGCTCTTGGCGAGCCCTCGAAACTTTAGACTCGTTTATTCACTGCGTTGTGCAGGGTTATCTTGAATGTGACCATGGCCGCGTGTCTATCTTTGAGATTTTGCAAGCCACTCTGATCTTCTTTGTGGGGCTTGCCTTGCTGAATGATAGCCTCGAATGCCTGGTATGATGTTGCTCTCGATGTTTTCGGTTGAATTAGTTTCAGAGAGCGCATCTTCAAAGATCACCTCTTTCTCGGCGTCATTGGAACCCGAGAAGCGCTTGGTCGAAGCAGTCTCATCCCTTGAGAACCCGTGAAACGGCGCAGCGTCGGGGTAGCTCTCGTTCTTCTCGTGACCTATCCTGTCCTAAGATTCGTGGTTGCGAGGTTATAGTAAGATGTCTAAAGAGTCGTCGACGTCGTCGAGTTCCTCGAGCGTCGACTCAGAGTTTAAGGTAGAGTCTGGTAGACACTCAAAGTCTGGCACGGAACATACCTTTCTCTTATTCGAAAGCCAGATGCGGTACGTATGCGCTATCCCAGTTTATCCAACGAAGACGCCTAGGACGCCCTTCAGGTCGAATTTTCTCTTAGTGGGAGTCTTGTCCAGCAAGTAGACCTTGGTGCCAAACGGTTGCAGGTGCACTACGTTTGGCTGCTTTTCTTTCCAGAGCTGGTGTGGTGTCCTGTAGTTGATTCCCTTGGTCATCGATTGCGTATGTAATTCGCTGTTGCAACGGCTTCTGCCCAGAAGCTGCGCGGCCGGCCGGACTCGAGCAACATGCAGTAGGCCATCTCCACAAAGGTTTGATATTTCCGTTCAGCCACACCGATCTGTTGCGGGGTGTGGGGAACAGTAAGTCTGTGCACAATTCCACAATCAGTCATAATTTGTTTGAACCTGTTGTTAACGTATTCCCGCCCATTATTGGACTGAATGGCCTTGATCTTTGCGCCAATGAGATTCTCGACCTGGTTTTTGTATTCCATGAACTTGTCGGCGACGTCGCTCTTATTTTTCAGGAAGTAAAGCTGGCACCATTGACTGTCGTCGATAAAGGTAACGAAGTAGCGAGCGCCTCCCAGGTCTCGAGACCCGCGTCCACACAGAACAATTCTCCGATTCTGTTGGCGACAAGGCGTGTTGATCCGTTAGAGTCCCTAACTTCTGCGCAGCTCTTTTTAAAGACAACTTCGCAGTTAATATCGACGATCTTGGCGACCGAGATGAGATTAGATCGCAGGTTGGAGACGTATAGAGCGTCCTTGAAGGTCACTGTCGCAGGGGTTGCCTTTGGTCTTGATGGTGACGTCGCCTTTGGCTTCGATCGTTGTTGTGGCATCGCTGGCGTGTCCCAGCCTATCCTTGATCACCTTGGAGTTAGCGAAAGCTTCTTAGTTGTTGTGCAGATGTGACGTGCAACCGCTGTCTATGTATCAAGGGGCTTCTGTATGTCGAGACTGGGCGTAAGCCTCAAAGCAAATGTTTGCTTTTTCGGTTCCGACATGATTTGCTTGAGCCATCTTCTTGCGACAGTCTGCCTCTTTGTGTCCCACTTTCTTGCAGAAGTTGCACTTGTACTTAGGTTTTTTTATTTATTTATTTATTTCTTCTATTTTTTTTTTTTTTCAATAAATACCTACTTACGTAGTGTATTTATTTTTGAGCTTTATTGTCAACGAGTACATTATATTATTGACAATATTTTAATCATCTATTTTATATAATTGAAGAAACATTCGTTAATAAAAATGGTTTTTTATTGAATTTTTATTGATAGTCCTTCTTTAAATATATAATGAGGGTGTTATTTATGCGACTAAGAATGCTATTTATGCACACATTATTACCGGATATCCTAAATGCAAGGATAATTGCATCACCTTCGATGCATCGCAGTAGGTTATTTAATATATCGTTTCCTAAAAAGTTTATGTACGTTTGTATATTATCTGCCAGAGAAATATCACTTCATACATGGGTACCCAAGTACCTACTGACCACTGTTTTTTTTTTTGGTTCTCTAAAATGCATGAAATGTTGTTTGCGTTAATAACTTAATGATTTCATACCGTAGAAAAATTGATAACTCCATATTTATAGGTGTCGTAAGAACTGCATATTTTCGAGTGAGATACGAGCTCGTAATGCTAATCCAGCCCCTTTTTTGAATTTACAACTAAAAAAATAGTTTTTGATAATCAGAATTCTATTTTACTTTAAGCAGAAAACACTTCTTGATTATTTATAACAATTTTCAGATCGATATCTCCATATACGATATTGTAATTGACACAAAAATACCACTTTCGTTAGAATGACCCATATGTACAAAGGGATGTTTAGTAATACATTATTTGCTGTGCATGAGCAGAAGTATCAAATATTTATATCAATTATTTTCTTAACAGCTGACAAATATTGCTTGTTAAATATTTTTCATCATTAAAATCTTACAGTACGAGGAATCCATTTATTGTAGTCTGAGTTCTAAAAATGACATATTATCAAATATTCATGCCCAATATACTCAAGTGCAAATAATTTTATTTGATAAGTTGGTAATAATTGTTTTTAAAAAGTAGTAAAAAATAAAAAAATGTAATAACAGTTTTTAAAGTCTAGATTTGTGACAAGTGACAAACTTATAATTTACAATTTTCTATCATAAGTTAGTATTGAAACTTTTTAATCCTTATTATGAGTTTTTTTTTTGTTCGCAAGATCAAATGATTCAACCATGCATATAACGATTATTAGCATTCACTATTTTTTATAATTTTTTTCATCTGATATGAAATATAAAACAAAGAAAAACAAACTATTATTACCAATTTTTAATAGCTATGAGTTTTTGATACATCTTAAAAGTCAGGTATTAGATAGTGAGAATTAACCATAAACGTTCTTTCTAGTTACTGCTTTTTTCGATGTTTCTATAATGACATTTATGACGGAAAAGAAGAAAAAAAAAAAATAATAACAAGAAATATTAACTGATAATAACACTTATTAAACTTTACTATAGTCTCAAATCTGGACGTTATAAAATATTATTGTTATTTATTTTTTTTTTTTCGTTACTTAATTACAAAAAAAATTTCCGCTTAGATAGGACTTAGGTTTCACATTTGAGAATACATAGCTTTATATTTCATATTAAAAAGGTGTCAGCCTTATTTTTGGTGATCCCGTACTAAAAATGTAAATGCTGAAATCAGTCGTAAATTACATAATTGATTCTGCGTTAATTTAATGTTGAATCTATGTTTACTGAGCATTGATTTAACTTGATATAAGTAGTTGACTTTAAAATAATGCTTTTTTCATGTTAGCATTGCAGTTAAAATTCAAATAAACTCTTTTAAAGTCTATTACGTCAATAATGTCAAGTTGATAGTAAATTAAGGTTGTTTTTTAATTCTAAATCAGCATTGGTTCAACATGGAATCATTAAAGAATTCAACACTAATTTTATCGACGATTTAACATTGATATTTTTTAATGGGGAAAAAATTCTGTCTGTCACATCTATTAGGGAGTTATACTTGAATTGTAACGGTTAAAAGAAAAAATAATGTTAGACGCATCCTAACACTTAGTAGTTTTTGTTTTTCTCAAAATCATTTATCATTTTGTTAAGAATTCTTTTGAACCTACTTCGAACAAAAACCTATATTGCACTTTTTAATAAAAATTGTCATACCCCTTGCCAATAGTAATAATTGTATTTATTAGACCACATAGTTTATAGTTTTAAATACAAAACAGTATTCACCTTCGTCTATAGTTAATGCAAAGCGCATGTATTTTTAAACTCTGACCTACATCTTTATTTCAGGTTTATGAATATTAATATGAAAGACTGTCTGTTCACGGATCCAAGAGGTGACAGCTACAAGTACGAGATATTTTTTGTACAAGCTCGAAACATTCGACATGTGCATGTACCTGCTCACGTGAGTATCTTTACGTAAAGTTTGAGCCAATTCATGTTAGCTCTTGTATGTTGTGTATGGTATAATGGATTAACTGTGATAGATACAATAGTTGTGAAGTTTTGAAGAAGCTATTTTTTCTGACAACCTCATATCTCTTCGAACAAAATAGTCCTTGTCTATCACTCAAAGATTGTAGATTATAATGCCCAAATGTTTTTCATCATACAAAATTTACGGAAGGCTCTTTAATAAGGTTCAACTATGCAACACAGAGCTTAAATTTTTTCAACAACCTAATTTATTGGATAGCGTTTATTTTTATCAGACTTCTTACCAGCAGTCAAATATTCATAAAACTATGAGTACCTTCAGAATCAGTGACTATGACTGCATTGGATTTGATTTAGACAGTACTATTCTTCGTTACAACATTTCAAATCTTGTTCAACTTGAATATGATGTGATCACGAAGTTTCTAGTCGATAAAAAAGGCTACAATGCAAAACACTTGACAGAACCTTTATCTCAAAAAGATTTTGATTTTCTGCAAAAAGGATTGTTTCTTGATTTTGAAAAAGGCAATGTTGTAAAACTCAGTCCTAATGGTAACGTGTACCTTGCTAGTCATGGAACAAATATTTTAAGTAATAATGATATTGAAAAATACTATCCTAATCGAGAATGGAAAATAGGTAAGATGTTCACTGAAAATCCATTATTAACATGGAATGGTCCACTGTCATTGAAAATAAGGACCGTGATGGACTACTTTGACATGATATCATCTCTTGTGTTCGCTAGGGTCGTCAATTCATTAGACACAGTAAATGGCAAGACCCTCCAAACGTACAATATTTGGCCAGATATTCTAGAAGCCTTATCTGACATGTACTCTAGAGAACAGCTCACGAGAAATGCTGGATGGTTTTACTCTGAACTGAAAAAAAATCCAGCTAAATATATTCACAAATGTCATACAGAGATACTTGCTTGGATTCAAAAGATCAAACAAAAAAAAACAACGTATCTCATTACGGGTTCTAACTCTGACTTTGCAGAGTTTACCACTGGTTATGCTTTTGGTAAATGCTGGAAATCTCTTTTTGACATAATTGTGTGCTATGCCAAAAAACCAGCATTTTTCATGGAAAAAAGACCATTTTACTCTGTAAAAAATTATTATGAAGATCGAATTGTAACTAGCAAGGAACTTGAGAGAGGAAAAATTTACAACCAAGGAAACTGGAAAGAGTTATACGAATTCTTCACACGTATTACTGATCTGAGCAATCCCAAGTGTCTTTACATTGGTGATAATTTATTACAAGATATATTTGCTCCAACAAATCATGCAAATTGCGACACAATAGTTATTTCTGAAGAACAATTGGCTGAAAAAATGCTTCACCACAGTCATACTCACAGTGATGAGCATGTACTAAACTCAAAAATATGGGGTTCTTTCTTTACTTTAAAAGATTCAACAGGTTATACAGATTCTTTCTGGAGTCATATAATAAAAAAAAATTCAAAATTATGTATTCCACAACTTGACGTGATAACAAATGTGCCATTAGACAAGCCCTTAAGCTGTTTTGTTAAAGAAGATAATGATAAGGAGCTAAAAGGATACCACCCTGCAAAACCTATCACACTGTCTTATCTTTAACGTATTTAAGAGAAGCAAGTGACGATACTAGAAGTTAACAAATTAATTTTATTCATTGGTAATCAATTTTTCTTAAGTGTTACAAGATTTTAATAAACTAATTTTATTAGTAGTAATAGAAATAATCAGGAATTCCTAAGCAGAATTAATTTTAATTGATAAATTGGTAATTATTTTCTTACCATGGGCCCAAAGTGCAGCTGCCGCTTTTCGCCCTTGTAATCATTTTGGGCCCTTACTGGGCGCAAAGTGTGCCCACGGGCGCAAAATTGCACTTTGCGTCCATGGTAAGAAAAACATTATACGCAATTCGGACATCAACATACAAGAATCGCTTCGGGTGTTCATATATAAAATTTATGCCCTAGTGATGTAATGTACCATTATTTTTAAAAATTAGTTAAAAATAAAAAAAAGTAATTACAGTTTTTAATGTCTAGATTTGTGACAAACATAAACGTGTTATGACACTTTTATGTATAACGTACATTAAAAAAAAAAAGCGTACAAAAGGCAACAAACCAACAAAATATATTTTTAATACAAAAACCTAACGAGTTTATAATTTTTTTCATCTAATACAAAATAAAAAACAACAAAAATGATATATTACTAACAATTATTGGTAGCTATTAGTTTTTAATAGATCCAAGAAGTCAAGTGTTAGGTAATGATGATTAACCATAAAAGTTTTTCTACTTACCACTTTTTTTCGGTGTTTCTATAATGACATTTATGAATAAAAAATAATAATAATAATAATGACTAATAATAACACTTATTAAACTTTATTATAATCTCAAATCTGGACTTAATAAAATAATGTTATAAGTTATTCTTTTTTTCCGGTACTTAATCACAAAAAAAATTCCCCATGGGTTACGAGAAAAATTGACGAGTTTTGCTTTTTACGTTAAGTAAAAAGCAAAATGAATATAAAATTTGCATTACAATTTTTTTTTTCATTCGCACCTTTAAACTACTTAATATCATATTAAAATAAATGTTCATAATTTATTTTTAACATAATTTGCTGTGACACTAAATTTGAATTTTTCTTTATTTAAGATTCACATTGTATCTTCTATTAAGGAACAGTTGGGAAAATTAGCTCCACCAATACAACATATCAAGAAACGTACATTTAAGTCCATACGAGCTGATGCTAAACAAAAAGAAGGAATGGCTGCAGTAAATGTGTTTTTGAAGCTCAATCGGGGACAAAGGCATAACGTCTTAGATGGTCCGAAATCTAATAATAGTCTAAGCCAGAAGTAAAAGAGAAGGAATATTGATAATTTGTAAAATTAAATTTGATGATAACTATTAATAAATTTGTCAGAGTTAATGTTGTTTTCTTTTAACATTGAACTATCTGATACTTGGACATAGAAGTAAAAGATATTTAAATTATTCAGTTGATCGTATTAGAGCAATTTTTTGAGGACTATTATATTCTTTTCTTCATTCATTTCAAATGAAAAGTTAAGACGTAAGTAAATTATCTACATTAATTCTCCTTCTTACTTAGAAATATTTCGTCGATTCAAAAAAGTTTGGAAGCCCATAAGCACTACATCCAAATGCGAGCAAGAAAAAACGGGCTATCGAGCGAGTTAGTCCGTTGGCCATGGGATGTTAAAATGGAAATTAGTATGGTACTTACACGCAAAGTAATGAAATTAAGCAATTCCATTTGAAGACATAAGAGACGGTTTATCTGTTGATTGACTACAACTTTCAGTATAGTAACTCGCTCGATTGCTCATTTCATAATACAAAAAAAAATGTTAAAAGTTTTATTACAATATTATTTGCTCGCTCAAGAAAGTAGGCTTTCATAAAAAAAATTCCTTGCCTACAAAAATCGGGTGAGATTTCACTTGAGATCTCAAGTGATTATCTCATGCCAAAAACTCACCAGAAATTTCATAAGAAGTGTCCTTATTAAAAAAAAAAAAATTAATTAATTATCCAGTATTTAAAGCTGTCAAAGTGTGTTACGTCAATTAAAAAAAAAAAAAAAAAAAAAGAGTTTCTTTGATGCTCAAGTAGATATCTCAAGTGCTTTCTCAGATGAGGTCTCACCTAAAAACTTTGAAAATTTACTTCATTTTAAAAATTGACATAAAACACTTTGAAAGATGTGTTTTTCGATGTACCTGTTACTTTGGCGTAACGTGTAGGGTTTGAGCTAAGCTTTCGCTTATTGCTCAGAATTCCCTTTACTTAAGTCTCCTGTTCGGGCGGTAATATAAACGAAAATAGGCCGCGATGCGAGGTGGTAAGGTACGTGAGGGAGGTGCAGTCACACGCCAGTCACTCTCGTGAGACGGTGCCAAGGTGCCGTGAACAGATCAACTCGCTTGCTCCTTCGCACAAAGACAAGCAGCCCGAGAGGTTTAGGAAAGCTGCTCGTGAGGATCGGTGTGAGGGTAGAAATTAAAACGATAGGTTTGTGTTAAAATTTTGCTTACTGTTTTTCTTTATTGATTGCAAATACTTGAGGCAACCCGAATCGACCGATAATTTGACGGTGGGAAACTAGGATGATTTGGAAGAGTGCCACCAATTGAGAGCAGCAGTATATGGAACTTGACCACGATGAGTCAAGCAGAGGACCTCGACCAAAGGAGAGTCGATATGGTAGGACTGAATGATTGAGACTGGTTAGTGTAGGAGGTTTCGGGCCTTTTATAAGGTTTCGCATGGGTCAATTCGGGGGTGCCGTTCTCGTGTACACATAGTTGGGGTATTGGGAAGAGGCCCTGAGTGCGAATCGGGAAAGCGATCATCGAATGGGAAAGCTTGTTTTCTAGGTCACGCCCTTGCACAATTCTGGGCCGCCACTCAGGTTCGAGAACGTGATAGTTTGCAAGTTTAGAAAATCCTCTTCTCAGTCCGACACACTAGAGAGAGGGGAGACAATATTCCTCCTTTTTCCGTCTCTCCTTACATCTGGCATTTTTTATAACTAATGTTATTACTAAAGTACCTTTAAGATATCGTCGATGGTACAAATTTATGTTTCATTATATTTTGGATGGAGTGTTCCTTACGTTTAAATTATTGTTTTTAATTTTTTACTAATTTCTGGTACTTAGGCTTAGTCGTCTTCTAAATCTGCAAGTTTTTTTCGGAGTCTAACAATCATCTGTCGAGCTTTAAGTAAAGTAAATTTTGATTTGATCTTTGAAGAACTTGTATCAAGCACTTCAAAATCTGTCGTTGGTACGTTACAAACATTAGAAACAATGTTGATGCAACTATTAAATTTTTTAGTCTCATTTTCTTGGCTGTCTCTCTTATAACTCAAGTATTATTCATTACTATCAACATCTTCAATATCAAAAAATACTTTTTTACCGGATGAATACGTTACATCGCTTAGTATTTTTCTAAGAATCAGAATTTCTTCTACTACGTCATTCACGCCCGAAGTTTATTCACTATTTACAGCTAAACTTCGTTTGATACGAGAATCAACCGATGCTTCTTCGATTGGATCAGTTTGAACGCCTTGACATTCATTTAGCGATTGTGATGGCCCATCAGCATTAATTGACGATACATCGGTATTACTGAATGATACTGAAGACGCATTGTCAACTAAAGCCGTCGTTTCTGTAGGTACTCTATTTTTTATTTTAGATCGCTGCTGTGTGTGCTACGTGATATTTTCGCAAATAATTTTCATACACAGCTTTTGCTTCAGGAGCCTGCCAATGAATAAGAGTACTGTTCTGTTTTAAACCCTTTATTTTACTGGTATTGTCTTTCACTCAATCAGCATCATTAAAATGTCCCGTCACAAATTTCCGCAGATTGCTTGAAAGACGGTGCCCAGTATTTAATTGTTACCTGCCATAAAAAAATGCGTTTCTGGCTGGTACAATTAGTTTTGATATTAAAAAGCGTTCTCCATTGATTGAACAACGTCTATCATTTATTTAAGTAACCGCGAAAAATGTTAAAATATCTTAATATTTCAAGTATTCTTTATTATGAACAGAAAAATGCTACACTTGGAATTTTTTTGGATTATGTATCTACCCTATCCATGCCGTTTTTACGCATGAGTCTGAATCTCAAAACTTATTGTATGCTATGAGAATTGTTACCTTCAACTAACAAAAGAATTTTCCTTGAAAAGATTTTCACTATTTGAAAAGAAATACAATTTATTCATTAAAAAAGGTTTATAATCCTTTATAAAGAATTAACCTGTCAAAATTATTGAAAAAACTTCAAGTGGGGCTCCTTTTTTGTAGTCATTACATCTATTAGCGAATTTGTTAAAAGCGTATCGCATATAAATAATTTTTACCCTCAAAACGAAAGTAACAACATTGTAGGGCAGCAACAATTGCTGATAATTTTACAAAAAATTAACGCATTAGCATGAGGTTTAAATTTGCTACTTGGCACTTGTAAAAATAAATATATAAATAAATATAGTTATTTCGACGAAACCAAAGTGTAAGATCAAGAAATTGCCAGAAAAATACCGTGAAATTAAAAATGTGTTAAAAAATACCGTGAAAAACTATTATAAATTTCTGAGGTTAATAAAATGTTTCCGAAGATACAGTCGATTTTGTGACCGCAATCCATAAGAGTAGATATGTTAAATTGGTGAATTTTCAGTAACGATTTGCGAAAAAATTAAGTCGTTGGCCCTAGTATTTTTTTTATCGCAAATGAATTTGGCATACTTTTTTTACATAATTCCATAATTTTAGAGTTTTGATTAAGCCGATAAAAATCGCCTAAGCCACTTTAAAATTGTGAAAAAATAAGGATTTTTCTAAGTTTTCAAAATTTTAGCTCTATAAATAAAGCTACAGAGAAGCTAAAGTTTTTTTGAATGGAAAACAGCATTTTCAAACATCTTATTATCGGTTGCTAAAAATTAAACATTTCAGATTAATCATCCTTGCTTTTTATATTTTAGAGGTCATAAAGCTTAAAAATAAAGGTTGCACTGGTGGGTCTCGATCGGCCACGAGCACTTACGTCTAAACTTGAATATTCAGACTGCCTTAAAAATTAGTTTTTTGAGCCTGTTACGTTCAACAATCCGCTATAACTTTGCAAGGCTTTAAATTATCGTTATTCATTTAATATGCATCACAGTATTCATTTTTTTTTTTTTTTTTTTTTTTTTTTTATGACAGCTCCTAATGCTTGTATTTCACGAAAGCGTACGTGATTTGAAATAAGAAAGTCGTAAAAAGTGTTACAGTAAAGATCAAGTACGGCTTAAGTACTATTAACATATTCTGATTATGAACTAGATGGTAAATATAGTAAAAAAGTTAAAAATCCATTGTAAGTAATCGTCTATTCCGCCCTTAAAATACGCAAATTTTTGTAGAATGATCCACATACATAACAACTAATTACGTACAGAAACATACACACGAAAACACATGAATTTGCCGACAGGCCGTATCACCAAACTACTTGATATTAATTTACATAATCACGCATTTGCACCTATACCTAAGTAAATACCTGAATTCATAATCCAAACGGATTTTCGCTTTTCATCTGCAGGAAATTGACACACCGTATGTCCATTGTGAGGACCGTTGTAGCAGTGAAGATTTTGGCACCTTGCATAATTGCTGTTGTTGTCCATTTTTTTTGTACTCGCTTTAACTATAACAACAAGTACATACAACGGCAGAAAAATGCTACATAGTCGAAAAACACAGCAAGAAAACATAAGGTATAATGGATGCATGCATTGTAAAAAAAAAAAAATAAATAATGAATAGCAGGAAGTAATTGTAATTAATACTCCCCCTGTTTAGATGAATCTCCTACGATAAAATATAAATAGTCCTGAGGTGATCGTTGCCAAAAACTGCCCAACACTAAATACTTATTACTAAAAATTAGTGTCATTATAATAATTCATTAGTGCTAGAATCAAAACAACAGCGCTGTGGGTAGTAACACAATAATGTATTAATATATATATGGAGCGCGTGATGGCTCAGTCGGTTAGGTCGTGGATCGGCACGCAGAAGACCGTGGTTCGATGCCCGGCCGGTGCGACTCTTTCGGGCAAGTACCTCTCTGAATTTTCACATGTGCTTTTCCACCACGCAATGACGCAATGCTCCTCAAGAAGGGATATT